GCCTAAAACCAAGAGTTTGACCCACTCTGTGGCTTTCGGTCTCTGCCATCTTACACCATGGATGATCATCCTTTAGCCAGAGAAAGTTAAATCAAGATACATTTCACCATGGCTGGATCCCTGGAAGGAAATGGGAGTTAAGAACCCATCCTCATGCCTCTCCTTATACTGTGGCTTCAGAACCACTCCTAAGTTTCTTCAGGGAATGGAAGAAACAAGTTTCTCTTCCTACTCATCCAAGGCAACCTAATGTAATAAGCAGTCTTTAGAAAACACTAACTGGCCACTAAAGCATGTGATTTTCCTACTGACCACTTCCTCCAGATTTATTTATTTTATTTTCATATTTACTTATTAGGTGTGTGTTTATGTCTGTGTACATGTAAGCAAAATGTATGTTGGTATCCAAAAAAGCCAGGAAAGGGTATTAGATCCTCTGGAGCTGGAGTTACAGGTCATTGTCAGCTGTCCGGTGTGAGTGGTGGGAACTGAACTCAGGTCTACAAAAGCAGCAAGCATGCTTAGCCTCTGAGAGCTCTCTAGCCCCAACTGACCACATATCTAAGACATTTTCTGGAGCTATAGACCATTGACCTTGACATTGATTTCTCTACACTGCTACTCAACTATTGCAGGAGAATTGTCTATACAGCCATTCCACTGTGCCAATAAAACAACCTTGAATCTAGGACAGAGTCAGTGATTGGATAACTGAGATTAGCCATAAAGTTTTTGGAGAACTTTGCAGGGCAGCTAGAGATGGCAGGAAGGAACTTGGGAGAAGTTAGGGTGGGTAAATTACAGTACTGGAGGTTCTGGAGAACCTTGGAGAAGGGATCAGCCAATCGCTCCATTTCCTTGGGTTCTTCAGGATTCTTAATTTCTGACTCCTGAGTTTTTATTATATTAAAATAAATTAGGTAATCATTTTATCTGGCAACTACATGTGGTGTCCAATATGGGCATAAAAGCAAGCTTAAGATATCATCTGAGCATTTATAATTAACATCAAATCTCTGTGTGGTTGTTTGGGAATTGGCTGGCAGGACAGAAAGCTCATCTACACTCACCATGCTTATAGATACAGTTCCTAGGTTGTAAGTTATTTCTCCCTGATTAAACATCTATTCGGCCTATTTGTTTATCCTGATCCTTATTTACCGCAATAGGTGTCAGCTAGCCAGGCCAAACTGCTCTTTCACTCTGTTCACTATCCCTTCTACAGAAGCATTTCCTTCCTGTTCTGTTCTCCCAACCCCCACTTACACAGCAGAAAATTTCAAAGTGTAGTATTGAATGCCTGCTGTAAGATCACCCAAGAAGCTTCTTAAAAAATAAAGATTCTGGGCCAGGTGTTGGTGGCTGATGCCTTAATCACAGTAGTACTAGGGAGACAGGTAGGTGGATCTTTGTGAGTTTGAGTCTCCAGGACAGCCAGGGCTACACACAGAGAAACTCTGTCTGGAAAAACCAAAACAACAAACAAACAAAGATTCCCAAGTCAGCCCTGCTGGATTAAAATATCTGAGAACAGGCCAACAAAACTGTATCTTTAAGTAATTCTCTATGGTAATTCCAATAAATACAAAGCAGTTTTGGGTGTCAATAATCTGAAGATCCTCTTAGCCAATACTAAATAATGGTAGGGTTCTTTATTTCTGACCAACAGATGTTTATTAAATACCTACAGACGTTTATTAAATACCTACTGTGTGTCAAAATGCTGGCTTGACCCATGAGTCTCTCATCTGCAAGACTCAGGGAAGGGCCCAGTCCTGAAGTGTTTCCCTAGCGAGATCCTGCTACCAGAATGCTAAGAGGTTTAAAATTCCAGACCCCTTCCTATGTCCTTACTTCTATCCTTTGATGGCTGTAGATGTGAGAGAATTGTATCCTAATCTCTTTTCTCTTAGTCTGGCATAAGAGAACACATCCTGTCTTTTACTCCCACAGGTTAAGAGATCTTCTCTGTTTTTGGATATGCAGACCCAAGAGTTCAATTTCCTTTAAGTAGCTCCAAGGGTTAGCATGGTGGGGCTTATGGAAGAAGGCACGTGGGTGTTTCCTAAGGTCAACTTTAAACACACAGAAGACAAGGCCACCAGGAGCCACATTTCTATCAGAAAAGAAGCTTGTTATTAGAGTGGGAGAGAAAGGTGGTGGGGTGGGGGTGGAGTGTGGATGGCTGCTGTGGTAAGCAGGTAGTGGGGGAGGGGAGACGCTATTTCAAAGCATTCCTACATCAAACTCACCAGGGCAATCAGGTCACCTCCCACGGAGAACTCACAGCCCCAAGACAGAGGGCAAGTGGCTCTTGAGGATTCACAACATAAACAATTAATAAAATTAATAAGGATTTCCCCCATATTCTGTGAATATTGGGAACAAATTGGATAGTTACTAAACATATTCTCTATTCACTTATCTTCATTCAAGTTTTCCCCAATAATATCTTCCAATCTCTCCTCAGACAATTAGAGACTATGATTATTCTGGAGCATGAGCTGGGATACAATGGCAGAGCACTTGCCTAGCCTTTGTGAGGTTTGTGTGTGTGTGTGTGTGTGTGTGTGTAGGGAGAGAGAGAGAGAGAGAGAGAATCATTTAGTGACTTAAAGTAGAGCTAAGACCCAGGATGAATCTTGTTCCTTTGGTTTGAGAATACCTTTCTAGGCATAATATAATAGAATGTTCTTACCTAGGACAGATGGTAATCATCTGCTGAATCTGAGCATGAAATGACTAGAGGCTTGAGTTCCAACAAACATTATGTACACTCACTCAAGGGCTGAGTGTGTAGTTCAGTGGTAGAGTGCTTACTGAGCATGTGCTGGGACCTGGGTTGTAGACACAGCTCATCAAAATAAAAGAGCCAACTCTGGAGTGAAGACAGCAATCTGAGCTCCGAAGCACAGGATGCCCTAAGGATCCAAGTATGAGAAGAGAGAAGGAGAAGCAGACCATAGCTCTCTGTATGGATTCATCAGGGAACCACAAATAAGTCTGAACAAATATTGAACCCTACTCCAATCTGCATTCTCAATACAATTGAGGAAACAAAATAACAGCAACAACAATAATAAAAATAGGGGGCTGGAGAGATGGCTTAGTGGTTAAGAGTACTGGCTGCTCTTCCAGAGGACAGGGGTTTAATTCCCAGCACCCACATGGCAGCTCACAACTGTCTGTAGCTCCAGTTCCAGGATTCCAACACCCTCATACAGACATACACACTCAGGCAAAACACCAATGCACATAAAATAAAAACAAATCATTAAAAATAAAAATAGCAACACTACTCTACTTAATTTTAGTATACTTTCTACTTCAAGCAATGACAACAATCTCCAAGAAATTGCTTCAGGGGAAGCAAATAATGGACAGTTCTAAATGGAAGGTCTATTTTCAATGGAAGTCTTCCATTTTCCATTCAGCTGCAAGAACCCCCCACACTCATAGCTTTGTATTCAGTCACGTGTCATCCCTTCCATTCCTAGCTCTAGGTCCTGCCACCTCTCTGATTCAGATGCAAGAGCACAATACACTTTGGTATAGCTTTGTTTGCTTACAAGTTCACAGCCCTGAAAGGGGCTCACTTCTTAGAATATGATGCCAAAGAGTTGAATTTTAGGCAAGGGTTCAATCACTCTTTCATGACAAGTGGATCCATAAAACAATAGTAAAACGTTACTCACTATGACTTAGAGGCTGTAATAGACCAAATTTTCAGGGCAGTGGAATTAACCAAGAGCAGACCCTTCTGAATCTTCACTACACATGCTTTTAGGGAAGCACCTTCATTTACTTATGGCAGCGTGTAAATAAATAGCCTGTTTATTTAACTTGGTATTTTCCTACAGTCCTAAAGAGGAAAACATGAAAAATGCTTAAGGAAGTTGGAAAGTTTGTCAATGTAAAGCTTGCCTGTAGAACCCTTCTACTCTTCATTTCCTGTGCCAATTGCACTTTTATTTCCCGTCTCTCTACACTCAGTAAACAAAACCATATTATCAAGGGAGAGACGTGAGCCCATTAACATCGTGAGCCCTCAGATTTCACTCGCAAGAGACGACGCAGCACTTATCTGATGGAACAGAAGCTTTAATTGCTTTAAGGTACAAGCCAGTCCAAACCTCTGAGATCTGACCAGTCCCCAGGATGCCTTTGCGCCTCCAGCCAAGAGTCTCCTTGAAAGCATGTGCAGCATTGGTGGGTGTGTTAGCCTCTCAAACAGTACACAAGGGCTTTCCACCACAGGGTGGATTCTTTATTCTGATGACCTCGTCTGGGGAAAAAGTCGGCTCCTTCCACACCAGACAGAAACTTGTTTTCTGCCCAAATCAACACTGACAGTACAAACATCCATCCTCACCACGTCCCACAAATCGGAAGGAATGCCGAAGGGAATGCTGTGAGGGATGTTGCAAAGAAAAGATAGTGAAAGTGGTTTCATCCCCAGGTCCCAGGCGTTGTCCTTGAGCAGTAAAGAGGGAAAAGCCAACATCTGCACTAGGTTTAAGACAGGAGCGACTCCAGAGCCAAGAAAACTCGAATGCACCCAGGAAACGGGGGCAGGAGCTACTTGACCTTCCCAAGAGGGCTGAGTAGAGCAAAGAGCGAAGGCAATTCTCCCGCCAGCCTCCTCCAAACCCACCCCGCCAATCCCTGGGGAGTAGTCCTCGGAGTCCTGAGAGGGATTGCTTTTCTATGGCTATACCTGTCCTGGGAGCCTAAGCCCTGAGCTCTTGGCGCGTCCTCCCCAGGGCACCCAGGGCCAGTACCGCTCTCCCCAGGGCTGGGCGGAGGCCCCGGCTGCTCAGGCTAAGTTGGCAGCGGGGCAGGCTCGAGGAACCGCGCTCCAGTCGGGACCGGGCCAGTGCGGGGAAGGCGCGGATTGGCCGGCCGGCGCCACGTGGCCGCCGCCGGCGGTATATGAGGCCACTATTTACCTCGGGCTCTCTCGCCATGGCTCGGCGAGGGCAGCGGGGGTAGCGGGAAGGCGGAGCTGCGTGGACCTGCAGGGTGCAGCGCTTGGGCCGGGGCTTGCGCCCGGCGGAGCGAGCCATGAGTTCCTACCTGGAGTACGTGTCGTGTGCCGGCGGTGGCAGCGGAGGTGTAGGCGGCGACGTGCTCGGCTTCGCACCCAAGTTCTGCCGCGCCGACGCTCGCCCCGTGGCCCTGCAGCCCGCCTTCCCCCTGGGCAGCGGCGACGGCGCCTTCGTGAGCTGCCTGCCCCTGGCCGCCGCCCGGCCCGCGCCGTCGCCCCCCGCAGTCCCCGCTCAGCCTCCGGGACCACAGCCCACCGCGCCCCGGTATGCGCCCTGCACCCTGGAGGGCTCCTACGAGCGGGGCGCAGCACCTGCCTCTGCGTCTGCCACCGACTATGGCTTCTTAGGGTCCGGGACGGCGTTCGATTTCCCGGGCGCGCTCGGGAGAGCGGCGGACGACGGCGGGACGCACGTCCACTATGCCACCTCGGCGGTCTTCTCCGGCGGCGGATCCTTCCTGCTCAGCGGCCAGGTGGACTTCGCTGCCTTTGGCGAGCCTGGCCCCTTCCCCGCGTGTCTCAAGGAGCCAGCGGACCGCCACCCCGGGCCCTTCCAGACTGCATCCCCGGCCCCCGGAGCCTGTCCTAAGCCCTCCTCTCCCACCTCCGGCCTCCCGGCCGCCTTCAGCACTTTCGAGTGGATGAAAGTGAAGAGGAACGCCCCCAGGAAAAGTAAGGAGGTGGGCGCTGGGGTGGGGACAGCAGCCTCCTCCGGGCTTGGCCCGGAGCGTGTGGCCGCCGCTTCCTTGGATAGAGCTTCTAGCCCCTAAGCTTTCATAGTCCTGGGTCAGAAAATGCCCCAGGCGCTGAGAAAATTAGGACAGAGACCTCGGTGGAGCGCTTCTTCTGGCGCAGCTGTGTCCGTCACTCAGGAGGGCCACTCTGTGACTTCGGTCCTAACTCTTAGCCCTCACTGGACAGTCTCAGCATCCCCTCGCCCCACTGACACCCTATCTTTATGTTGCAGGCAAACTCTCCGAATACGGAGCCGCAAGCCCCTCCAGTGCCATCCGCACCAATTTCAGCACCAAGCAATTAACAGAACTGGAGAAGGAGTTCCATTTCAATAAGTACCTAACTAGAGCCCGACGCATCGAGATCGCCAACTGCTTGCAGCTCAATGACACCCAGGTCAAAATCTGGTTCCAGAACCGTAGGATGAAACAGAAGAAAAGGGAACGAGAGGGGCTACTGGCTACAGCTCCCTCTGTGGCCTCCCTTCAGCTCCCTGGGTCAGAAACAAGTCCCACTAAATCTGGCCGGAACCTAGGAAGCCCTTCTCAGGCTCAAGAGCCTTGCTGAGGTCCACTCTTCGAGGACCTTTGGTCTACAGAAGTCACAGACTGCCCCCACCCTTGTATAGACTCAGGAGTTCATTTTGGGTGTGGGCAGAAATTAGTACGGATTTGACTTGGCAAAGGAATTGTTGGAATTGGCTTCTGAGTTCCAGAGGCTATGTGTAGAGATATTATTTTGATATCTCTTATTTGCATAATATTTCTGCCTCATCAGGGAAATGGTGTCTAGCTGCCAGCCTAAGAGCTGCTATGTTAGTCATGTACAGTTCCTGGGTGTAGAGTGGCAGGCCTTTTTAGTCGTTGAATTCTGTCAACCCTCTGATGTGGTCAGAAAAGTACCTCTCTGAAGTTATCTCAGTTTTACTTTCCAGGATGCACTAGATATATTCAGCTTCTTGAGATAACCAAAGCTAGTTAGGGTCTCCTTGATGCAGCTAAGCTGCTTCGACGATGATCCTCATGTTGCACTCCAGCTTGTTTGTTAAGTTGCTCCTACCTCTTCATGTGCCTGAGTGAAGATACAATCGCTGTTTAGTTGGTAGCTGAACAAATCAACAGGGTGGGTAAGGGTTGGAACCTGAATTGTACCTTGACATCAGTTACTCAAACTTGAATGTAAATACACACAGTATGTATATTTTTTGAAAGATTTGCTTGCAATGAACTTATATATGACATTTAATGTCATACATAGCATGTAAAGATTTTGGCCTTTTTGGAGGGCAATAAAAGTTACAGAATCTACTATTCTTTGCCTTTTCTTACATCCTTTTCATTTAATTCCTTTGGTTGATTCAGTTTCCCCCATTTGGAATTGCTTGACTGTAATATGGCAATTTGTTCACATTGGTAACCTAAAAGTAATACCACCACCACTTTCCCCTTCTTTGTTTTTGTGGGATTTTGTTGTTATTTTGTTCTGTTTTTCTTTCAAGACAGGGTTTCCCTGTGTATCCCTGGCTGTCCTGGAACTCACTCTGTAGACCAGGCTGGTCTCAGAGATCTGCCTGTCTCTGTGCCCAGAGTGCTGGGATTAAAGATGCCAGGTATAAAGTAGCACTCCAGTGTATGGAGTATGGTTTTTCTGCCAACCACCAGTCTTGTCCCGCCGCACCTGCCCCAATTAACACACTGAGACTCTGTATTTGATATAATTCTGTTGGCCCGTTACTTGTTTCTTATCGGCTAGCTCTGTCTTAATTATTAACCCATTTCTGTTAATTTAATATTTCCACATGGTCTTCTTACCGGGGAAAGGGGCCAGCGACTCATCTCCCCAGTCTCTCCTATCTTCCTTTCCTATTGGCCAACAGTGCTTTATTCATTAACCAGTATGAGAAACATATATACATAATGGCATCTCCCATCACTCTAGTGCGTGCGCGCGCGCACACGCGCGCGCGCACACACACACACACACACACACACACACACACACCACGGCATTTATCAGTTGTTACCTGGGCAAATCAGGCAGAGAACTGCTCTGTTAGATTCAAAATACCTAAGGAAATAGTTCCCCTGCATTAGCTTTATGGTGGACATACGCATTAACTCAAGGGCTGGGTGCCCACTGTGGGAATGCTGAAAATCCAGAGACCTGATTTTTCTTGTATCTCCTGTCCTCACCAAAGGAAGGGGAAAGGTGACCTGAAGACTTGGTGTCTACATCCTTCCGTGTTCTCTGAGGAAAGTAGCTGCTCATCAAAAAGTTCTCAGTTTTTTATTTCCTATCTCCAAAGTCAAGGTTCACAAAGGAGGCTGGGAGAGGCTAGTGGTAAGAGCATCCTCTCCCTATACCCCAGACTAAGTTCTGGCTGAGAACATAGCATACTTGTCTGTTTTTAACAGTGGAGTATTTTCAAATTAATTTCTTAGAATAGGTACAATTTAAGACTTGGCAAGAGTGTAGATTAAAAATCAAACAAGATGGGTGGTGAGGACTCATGCTTTTAATCCCAGCATTCAGGAGGCAGAGGCAGGCTGATCTCTGTGAGTTTGAGGCCAGCCTGGTCTCAAACAGAGCTACACAGAGGAACCCTGTCTTGGAAAAACAAACAAACAAACAAAACAAAAAACCCCAAACAAACAAACAAACAAAAAGCCTCCTCCCCCCCCCCAAAAACCCATAAAATCCTTTGCTCTTATTTCCACTCAACCTCTCTTCCCTTGAAGGTGTCCACAGTCAACAAATGTTGATGTGTTATCTCATATTAATATAACCCTGTAGAAAAATGCTATATAAACACATAAAAACAAGTGGGTGCTCTGTACAATTATCTAGTTAGGACATTTCCCTTACTTTATTCCCATTTCTTTAAGATCTCCACATTATTTAACAGAAAGGCTTAAACATGCAAAAGAGTCACATAAGAACCTTACTCAATTATGTTTCTAGATCTCAGTGTAAGCCCTCCAACACCAATAACTTTAAAGCCTAAACAACAGTATAACATTACTTTCCATGACACACATCAGTGTGGTAGTTGTGTTAGAAATTTGAAACTACGCTGAATTCTTGTCCATTGTACCTACAAATTAACAGAGTTGAAATAACGCTAGTTCTAGCAATCTCAACTGATTTCAAGGAGAGAAAATCACTTTAAAAGTAGGTTCATTGTCATTATTCTTAGGTTTTTATCTTCTGCCCCTCAATAACTTGATGCTAACTAGATCTTACTCAAAACAGCTGCTTCCTCTCTGAGCTAGTTCTTCAGCTATTTGAAAAGACTTGTTATAAGTCCTACTTATCTGTTCCTTCTTAGTTACATCTAGTGAATTTCTTCCTGTGGTTTTTGACATGACAATGTTTCCTTTTTGAAAAGCACTGAAATACCTAAAGAAAAACCAATACCACACTTGGTCATGTCCTTAATCTACCACCCCGTCTCTGAAAAAGTAAAGCGTTTCCTTGAGAAGCTGGTCCTAGCACTTAACAGCACTGATGGATGTCTTCCTTGATGAAGGTGGCTATTTTGACATTCGTATAATGCTGTTCTATGAATCAGGCCAATATTAGCTATTTTTTGACCAACCCCAGGGATCTTTAAAAGCTTTCTTAATGCAGATCACTGTACAGCTATATTCAGTATTAGGAAGAGTCCTGGCTGGACGAACTAGGTGACCTTTGGAGATCTCTTCCAGTAAGGAAAACGATACAGAAAATTCTACAACTCAACAACTTTTGCATATTTGATTTTAAGACTGTCATGGGGAGAGAGTTTGTTTCTAGGGAAGCAAGTATGGTCTGTAGGAATACAGTAACACTGTGGGAATACATAAAAAGTGGATTTCAGATGTCATCAAATACATCTTATCATTGACTCACAGAATATCCTTTTTCCCATTACTCTGAGTCTTGTGTTATTTTACATCAGCTGTCTTTGTAGTTTGAGGTTGCAACACAAAAGTTTAGCCACTAAAAACAACACCATTTCTATCTTACAAGATTTCAAACCAAATATGCTAATTCACCCTCCAGTGATCTATTATAAGAATGAATACACAGTGGGCAGTTCTGGTTGTTGTATAATTAACCATTCAATGTTCCTTTGTCTTCACATAATGACTGAGTGTCTACTTTTCTGGATTCAGGATAATTGGGAGGAAAAAGAAAGCGTTTAATAACAAAATTTCCCTAACTTGACTACTGGTAAATGCAGGCCTTGCTGATGTAAAAACCTAAAGCAATGCTTAGATTGTCAAAAGATTAATTATGTGTGACTTATTCTGTCTGAAACCTGTGTATGACAGGGCCTGATATCAGAGTATGTTATGTCTGATTATCATGTCAGCATAAAAAAAGAAACAGGCTCGGGCAAGTTACATCAGCTCCGAAGTTCTTAATTATTTCTTATGGCCAAAGAAGTACTCTACATTTGCTGAATACTGAATTTGAAAACCTCAGCATCTAATCAGATTCTGTGAGATGTTAGTCTGACCACAGACCTCTCAACAAGAAAAATGCCCATTGTTAAAACTTGATTTGTGGTTTTAAAGTAAAACCATGGTGGACATATCTCACAAATAATGATAAATCCCTATCTAAATAGAAATCAAGATTTCATAGTTTTTTATTTCTACCCTGTTTCCAAGATATGAAAATGCAATAAATATGCAAAACAGCTCTACTGAGTATCTCATTTGTAATTGCTTCTTAAATTATATCCTTGTTGCTCAGAAATATAATTTCAATAGAAACTGTTAAATTCAATAATAAACTAAGAGGAAAGTGATCCTAAATATTCATATGGAAAAGACTATCTGTCACTTAGCTTTTAGAAGTTTCAAGATTATCTTGCCTGTTTAGAATACTATTACTAATATCATTTGGAAAGGAGGGTCAGAAAGTGGCCATTTGGATTTTCAAGGGCTAATGAAGCAGACCACTGACACTTTCAAGGCATTTTTAGGGGACACCAAACTGCTGAGTACATCTTATCATCAGGAATTCTATAAAGCTTACACTTACACAGTGTGACAGGGCCCCATTAAGAAAACAAATATAAATTTATGAATGAAATATAAAACTTTCATGGGACCAGAAAGGGTCCAGGTGAATAAAGCTTAGGTGTTCTTGGGTTCATGCCAAAGTTTTTCCTTGAACTGGTTGCTTTATGACACTGGCCAGTTGTTGCCTGTGTTGACAGCCATTGTTGCCTTTTCCCAGCTTCCAGGAGGCACAACCTTGTTCACTTTCTTCAAATGCATCAGGTAGCAAATAAAGGGAGGAGAGGGCTCACTGATGTCTCTGTCACTCTTAAAGCATCATTAGTCCATGTGCTCTTCTGGGCCACTGGCCAGATGGGAGTTCATCTCAGCTTGCAGGTCTTATGCTGTATGCTTCTGCTTCAGAGATAAACACAGAAAGGTCTAGATGGAGACAACAGAGTTTGATTCTTAGCTTCCCTGAGGAAGCTTCAGTCTCAGCTTCTAGAAAACAAAGGTTATGGCTCTGTATAATCACTAAATATCCTATGACCTTAGTATTTCTCCACAATCCTTTACTCTTTGGCTATCACTGAAAAGACTATTTAATATTACTAAGTTTTGTAGATTAGTATTAACAAGGGGGTGGTTTTAAGATGATGTCTGAGGCTTTAAA